CAGATTTGGGCAGTCAAATTCACTTACATTCTACAAAACTAACTTTTTAAAACTTATGATGTTCTGAAACATGTTTCTTGTGGCCTGATGGTTTTATGACTGCATGATGTTAGAATGCCAGGACCATAATAGGGGGAGAAGAAAAACTTCTTTCACTATGGTTAGGAGTCAGCAGTTTTGATTTGGAACCCCTAATTGTTGGAGTACAATCTTCTAGTTCCCAGTATGATTGGGATTCTGGTCTCAATACACTTCAGCAATGGAAAACTTGGCTTCAGCGTTGGATTTAGTATTACTTCCTTCAAATGGCTTCATATTATTCTGTTAAATGATTTATTTCTGATCAGTTTCTTTAAACGGGAGTTACAGGACTGATTATGGTGTGACCTGAAAACCATGCCGAATCAATGTAAACCGTGCCATTACAAATGATCCACAGCGCTACTTATCTAATATTGCAGCTACACTATCGGTTAACACTCTTTATTGTATGGTGTGAAAAGACAGCAACTAATTATACAGTTTGCACTATTCTAATAAAGGCTGTCAATCACATTCTCCAAAATCCCCTGCACATGCACTCAAGCACACAACTTGCATGCCGATACACACACATGTTGCACTATGAAAAGCTCACTCAAACTCTGTCTTAATTAAAGAAATTCCCCACTGCTGTAACTTCTGTTGTTTGCTGTCTCCGTAGAATACCGATGAGATAAATGGATAATCATTCTTTAATACAACCATGGCCTTTGTCTGCAAGGTTCCGTTCAGATTGACTGATGTGGAGACTGATTCCAACCATTGACTTTACACCGCTGCAACAAGGCCGCTGCAACAAGGAGGATGGATATCTCGGGCGTCTGTATACAAATATGGTGGGCTGCCTTAGCCCATTCCTTAGAAAAAAACTACAATAATCCTTTCCTACTTAATATTAAATTGGCATACCATAGGTTCCCTGAAGCACAATTTTAGAAAAAAAATGCTCTTTTTGCAATTCTACATTTCTGCTTCGTGATGGCAATTAGCTCTCCATAGCACTCAAATAGGAGGTTTAGATTTCCAAATAATGAAAGTACTCAGCAGATCTGACAGCACCCGTGGGGAGAGAAAGAGTTCATTAGATATTCAGTATTTTCTGTTCTGATTTCAGATTTGCAGTTTATACAGTATTTTGTCGCTTTAGGTTGGAATGTTATTTCATTCCTGTTTAGTACCTCTGTTCCGGTGCACAAAAGGTGGTAAAACTGCCAGAGTTCAGTAGCAGAGTCCAAGCTCATAATGCAAAGAGTATTGTAAGCAAATTAAAGTCCTGTTAAAGCATTCGATCTATTTGATACAAAAGAACCCGCTGTTCTCTCAAAAGGATCTCTAACCCACTTTGCACATAAATACACCTCATTAACAAATATGTGCGTCCATAGGTTCGAAGAAATTCAGCAGAGCCAAATGTAATATAACGCCGATCTGATGGACCACTACACACTCAAATGCAATTGCCTTAACTGGAACACACCTTAGAAGTGCAAACTTTCTCCACGTCTCAACCTCCAGCATTTACAGCCCTTGCGCATTCTGACCACAACAATGACAAAAATTGACATGTCAACAGGTCGGTACATGCTCTCTTCTTTCTAAACGCATGGACTTTCATTAAGCAGTGCATTATAACCAGTTGTTGAGCAATGCTCCATTGAAACTGCTAAATCATCCTCATTGAGTAGTCTTGCATCCGATTCAAAACCAATGTTTCCACATTCCTGTTTTGTAATTGAGTCAACTCAATTAGGGGCGTTACATCAAAAAGTATTCGAAGATACTGCCAAAGGAAAATAAATAGGACGGAATTGTGAGAATGAAGGTTTGGTACACTAAAGTCTATAACATTATTAGTGACGTACACTTACTGAAAGTTCAGTTAGTGGTGACATTCCGGGAAGGACTGAGAGTACCGGTCTGTGTAGTGAGAGATAGTGATCTTAACCACTACTGGTGCGCAGCTGACAAGCATTTCCGCATGAAGGCAATGGTTATTAAGCGAGCGTCTGTTGACCGTGTTGTATTGGGTGGACTTTGAAAACACCATGTTGCACTTTGTATTAGATGCAACATGTATAAATGTTAGATTTTATTCAGAAATCCTAGAGGCTGAAAGTCCCAACTATTTGCAGACTCCAAAGTTCTTTGGTGAGCACAAATCGTGGTAGGAGTCCATTACAACGTGTGTGTAATTGTATCTCTATGAGAAATTAGGGCGAAACACGAGATGGGTAGAAGAGTAAATTTATTGAGCTGCAATGTCACAACCGTTTAACCGAAGTTTAATTTGGCTCTAAGTGTTTTAAAGCAGCAAAGTCTCCCTTTGAAAATACCATTTCACATAGTCTAAAATGTTTTTAAACCTAGAATTTAGCATTAAGATTGTATTTGAGGTCGATCTACATTTTCTCACCGAAAAAAGTCGTGAAACTTTTTTCTTCACTACCTCATTTTATCACACTTTCCGAATACTTTTATTTGTAAAATATGGCAAGTATGATTTATGATTCTTGCGTTTGCCAGACCTACATTATTTTAAATTCCAATTTAAATTCTTCTCACTCTTGTGTAATCCATTATCATCATTGAATTTTAAAAGGAGCTTGTTTTTTTTAATATTTTACTAATTTAAAATGAATCCAGCTTGGATCGCAGTTAACCACGTGTTTGAGTTGATTTTGAAACGTAACTTGTTTAAAAAGGTTAGATCGAAATTTATTATTGCTGATAATGAGCTGCATTTATTCCCAGTATTGTTCAAAAATGCCTTTACTGATGCGCATATGGCAACTTCCTTTCGACCTGCTTTCCCATCCCACTTTCTTTGTCGACGCTGTCACGGTAAAGAATCGTCATGGCGCAACTTGACTTACAATAACAAGTTCAAAAGAAAACAGAAAATAATCGCTGGAGCCATGAAGAATTGGAATAAAGAATGTCCCATTGGTCCTCCTCCACTTTTTGTTATCATTCTAATTGAAGTGGTGTTATTATTGATGTGATGTCTGTGCTGATTGTTGTACAGCCGAGCATTTTTAAAAGCAAGTCGTATTCTTGAAACTGACACCTCTGCAGAATGTGTCCATGTGAACTTGCAGTACGTGGAAGGATGTAGGTTGTAAGAGTCCAAGTGTTATCTGTGAATATAGACTTTGTTTCCGTCCGCCTTGTGCTGTTTTATTTATCCCCGTGCATAAATTGGAAATAAACTTTTTTTGTGTGTGTGCACCGGGCGTGCACTGGCATTTACAGGTTGTCTCTGACCCTGGACGTCTGCATTTGACTTAATAGCGATCAAGGATTTTTGTTTCACACCATAAATCAAATCAGTAGAGAATGTTCATTACAATACTGGAAACTTACAAATTTAAAAAAAGTGAAGCTGTTCCTGGGGTAGACAGTTATATCAGGAGTTCAGAACTCCCATTTCAGCGTCTTGGCTTAATGCCTCGGGAAATATGAAGAAGTTTGACAAATATAATTTCTGTTAGTTTAGCTTTTTTTAAAAGTTCCCTCTTAATTTTGTTTATGTCAGCGGAATTTGTGGAAGTGTACAGTTAAGGGTCATAAGACGCATATATAATCCGATTTGCTTCCAGATTTTAATTTGTATCAGTCATTCAAAGATGGAAACAGGTTTACCTGCAAGAACGCTGAATGACACGGTGCAATTCGACATCTTGAATGATCTGTCTGTTGACTTTAATCATGCGCATCAGACAAGCCTTTATTCATTGTCAAGCCTTCAAAATCATGCGTGTTTGTTCTTAGCATGTTACCAATGTCACATTCGAGCACACGCTTTACAACAAGATACCCATTCGAGTTTTTTGATACTTTATTTTATTACTAAACGTTTTCCCATAATTACAGCACAATCATTATATAATCCCACAACAAAGCCTCTATTGAGGCACCAGCTTTTTTTCTGTCAACTAAGGGACACTGAATCCATAATTGCATTATTCAGCCTTTTGCTATTACATTCACTGCTACAGAAGCATAACCCGTCCAGACTGCGGGAAATCTGCCGTTTGTAGCACTTCCAGATCATACACTTCCCAGGCACTGAAAGTAAAGTAAACCAGCAATTAACTGAGTCTTAAGTTTATCCCAGAAGTTTACTGATAGAAAAATCGAGATGGATTTTTCCAGATGGACCAGAATTGTTACCGCACACAGCCCACTGTGACGTTGCCCCCTCGAAGTTTAATTACCGTATGCTAATTTCCCTGGTAGCTACGTGATTAATTAAGAAAATTATATTTTGATGTTCACTTGAAATATTTCCTTTTTTTAAAAAAAATGTTACTCCCGTACATGGTCCGTGTTTAATGCTAGCCTTATAAAGCTCTGCTGAAGACATTTAATGTTTATACGCAACCGATTGGGAAAAGAACTGGCTTATTTACATTAAATACGCGACAAGGTTACAGTGGAGATCAACGTCATTTTATCGCTGATTACTTCTCCTAAGCGCCGAAGCTGTGACTGATGCTTGTGACCCACTGTCCACGAGGATTTCACCTCACAATCTTGACGAGAAAATACTTTCATAGTGTTATTTTTCCCCTAAAGGTAAGACATGAGTTTGTAAAAAAGATCAATTTGTATCCAGCGAAAACGGTACAGCTGCCGCTGGCAGGGAGGTAGTCAAAGGCAAGATGTGTTATGTCTGAATAACAAGTCTGACAATCAGAGTGGGGATAGGGAGAATGATAGGACCTAGATTTAAATAAGTGTGTTTACAGGAGCTCAAGGTCAACAGCAGCCTTGTTCCGTCTTAATATTTGCAGTCGCTACGTTGAGGAAACATGGTAGACTATAGAACATTCTTTGTACGTTATTATATCAAGCGCTGAGCTTTGGCTCATCAAAGCTAAATGCCGCAAGACCTATCTAGTTGCTGTGAATTATGCCAAGACGACAATGGAGTGCTTTTTAATGGTACAATGCATTTCACCTACCAGATAGGGGGAGTCAAAGCTAAAACATGGGAATGTCTTGTGATGTTCTGTGATCAGTATCACTGAGCGCGTTTATCCCGAAAGGGACAGATTAAATAAAAGACTCTTTCTCGGGATGTGCGCGATAGAGTTAACAGAGCAATCTTTAAAGGGCAAACGTGACACGCGGAGCCACTATTTCCCCCTCAGTGCAAGAAAATGATCAAGTCAATCATGTGGACATGCTTCATTATTCATTGAACACAATCTTTTACAACGCTTCATTTACGTGCAGGAGTTTCTTCTAGGCTTTGCTGTTAAAATTAAGGTAAGGAAGGAGGATGCGCCGGGTCGTGTTGAGATTTGGGGGGGACCTTGTGCGCGATTTGCGAAGATTTAAAGTCAGTTTGTACTATTTTTTTGTTTCTTTGTACGCAGCGCAACGGGGCCTACTTTTCCACCGTGATTAAAAAATACAGTATAATTAAATATCCATGCCAGTGACGTTTGCATGCAGGGCTGTCAGGGGAAAAAGCAGAAAATAATAAAAGCAGCCGAGAAGCCATTGAATGGCGCTGTAGAACTTGCGTATGGAAATCATCCGTTTTAATTTTAAACAACAAAATATGTTGCTGCCTTTAATAGCACAGTGGGAATGAATTAATCCCGTTCGCAAACGAACAGCCGCTTGAAGTGCTCAACATTCCACAGTTATTCACAATGCAAAATGGCACTTAGCCAAACTTTTGGCCAATTTTTTTTTAACCACTTAACTTTGTTGAACCACTCGCATGAAATCCCTCCACTTCCACCTCGCCCCCTCCCTCCTTCCCTCCCTCCACAAGCCTCCCTGCACCCTCGCCTCCTGATGTTGTTACAACAGGGGTCTGGTGCCTCCGCGTACCTGACTTTTGCACTCCTCGCAGATCAACAGCGAGGTGTCCCCTCCCTCCCCAAACTGTGGGCCATGTGTCAAAACTTGAAGACAGGCGAGTGCCGGTGCGACCTGCCATTTTGTACCCAGACCGACCCTTCACTTGGGACTGGAAGCCTGGCAGCCAGCCGCCGAGTGAGGTTGTAGCACTTCTGAGATGTTTGAACTGCCCCCAGTCAGATCGGAAGTGTTTTCCAAGGGAATCAGCGAACGCATTATTGGGGATAGTGGCGCTGGGGTTGGGGGGGGGGGGGTTGGGGGTGGGTGGTGAGGAATACAGGTTGTGTAGGAAACACCTGTTCGAGCCTTCCAGACAGCAATTCCTTATCATATGTGAATGTGTGTGTGTGTGTGTGTGTGTGTGGGGGGGGGGGGTGGATTAATGTTCAATTTACCTTCTGAGTATTTGTTTACACCGACTCCCGCTGAATTCTTCCAGTCTAACATTTCATTTTAAAAGTCGGACGAATGGGGCTTACAATGACCGAAGTACAAATGCCAAGTACTTTTTTTTTGGGGGGGGGGGGAGTGTGGAAGCGTCTCTTTTTAAGCAGGGAGGCGTTGGAAAAATAACATAAAAAAAGGTTAACGCGATGGTTTCAATATCCCCCCATCTGTTGCAGCCGTGCACGCAACACGAGCAAGAGAAACCCGGGAACAATAATGGAAATAAATGCATGTACTCCACACATCCCTGTGTTCATCAAGGAGTGCCAAACTGCGCTCCACATTAACGAGCAGGATCGCCTTGCCTGTCTCGGATCTATCCCTGCAAACCAAGTGCAAAGCCAACGGCTGGCTGCTCTTTTGCCCGAAGTAGTTGCGGAGCCCGGGAGTTGAAAGTGACTGGGAGCGTGCAAGCGGCGTATTGTTTAACGGTTTCTTGGCGAGACTTGGGCTGTTTGTGAGTGGGATAGTGGCGGGTGTAGACGTGATTTGTCAGCTCGGGGCTTTGCTGCTGCTTGTACAAATGCGCATGATAGAGTGCCCGGAATTTCAACAGCGATCGCGCCCTGTGACCCTTCCGGGGCCCTTTGGCGAAGTCTCAGCCGCTAGGCTTTTCAAAAGCACGGCCTGCCCCGGATCCCAAAGTGGGTGCCGTGCTCTGGGGAGAGAGCTTCGCTTTCTCTTAGGGCTGCTCGCTGCCCTAGGGGGGGTCGCCTGCAAAAAGGGCTTTAATTAATTTCAAGAGAGAGATGGCTTGAAACGTAACGCTGACGTCGTATTGTAAATCTCTCTCTCTTTCTCTCTCTCTCCCCCCCCCCCCCCCCCCCCCCCCAATCCCCGGTGCAGTATTGTGTTGAAGCGTTACTGTACATCATCGCATTAACCTTCATCTCCTTAGCCTCTTACACTACATCTCATGAAACTTGTCGTGCCCAAAGGCGAAGTCATACGGAGGGGGCCGTGCATGATTGTTAAGGTAAAACATCTCTGTACCAAACTTTGTCCCCCCCTCAACTCCGCCACCATTAAAACAGAAAATGACCCGAGCGACCTGCAGTGGCAGTTCAGCCGCATGTGTTCCAAGAGAAGTGTTTGAGCAAAGCCTCTAGCATTCCAAAGGCTGGTGCCACGGGTTATTAAAGTACAATAGTGGGATTTTTCTAGCCTGAGGGATTTTAGGTTTTCTGTCGACTTTCATAACTTCCCGCCTGCTTACAGGTGAGGCAGAGTGTTGGAATTTTACACACACACAGCCTTAACCAGAAGCGCTGTCAATGAGGGGAGGGGAAAGGAGGGGAGCCAAACACTCATTTGCTAACACTTTGCCAGTTCAGCCTTCACTGTTTACAGCCACCGTGTCACAATAGACTACAGACTGCAGCTTTTTTTTTGACCGCGCAGCAGTTTGACGCCCCACGCCTTTAATTATGCAAGGATCGTTCTCTTTGAAAAAACCTCGCTCTAGTTGACGCGCCACTTTCTCAATTTCCTCCTGTTTCTAACGTACCTACTGCGATGTAGTTTTATCGCGCTCTGATCACAGTGATCAGGATATTGCCGAGGAGTTTTTGTTTGGGGAGGAGGGAGCTGGTGAATGGTGATGCCTTTGCATCTTGTTCGGTTTTTCTTTTGCTCTCTTGAAAAGTTAGGCACCGTCTGGTGGCTGCTGTGGGAGAGAAGTGCACATCTATTTCCAAGACATCAGTCGAGTGGTTAAGACCTCTTCAGTTGACAAGCACTAATGCTTTGCTGTTTCACATATGATGTCATGGTGATCCTGGGAGTGCAAATGTCTCCTGATTCCACCATTAAACGCCTGGCTGATTTGCCTGATAATGATAGCATTGCACCGCCAGACAGACAGACCCAAACCCTGTGAATTAGCATCTCTTGACCAGAGAGGGGAGCTTGATCGCTGGAACAATTGTTCGCTTTCTTTCTCGCTTGCACGAATTTTTTAAATCCCGGAATGGGGGTGGAAACTGCTCAAGGCATGATACACCTTTGGAAAGGTAGCATGTCTCCAACTGAGAGAAATGTAGATTATTATTTTTTTCTTTATGACCTTCTGGATCGTCTTATAGCCGAGCCTAACCGATTAAATCCGATAAGAAACTAGAAAGAAGCAAAGACCAGCGCTGCGGTGCAAAGTTACGGTATACTTGGCGAATTGCCGCGTAGCGTGTTTGTGTTCCCCGAAACTTATGTGTTCTTTGAGCCGCACCATATAATAAAAAGAAAATCTATGGACCGTGTTTCACACTATCACTGATTTACAAAAGAAAAATCATATACATCACAATGCACAGCTGGGTGCCTGTGTGCTGACTGCACGATACATAACTGCAATATTAATGTCAGATTATTGTTTGGTGCGTAATGTGTTCTCTTAATTCAATATGTCAGTAATACAAGCCATGCAAAGGATTACGATCATTGTTATTTTGTGTGATTCACTTAAAATTCATTCTTAGACTAACTCTTGAACAAACCTTCCTTTTAAGAGTTAATGGTTACTTGAATGTATTGTTGTCAGTGACACACCCAATATTTTAATACACCGTTCAGACAATTCACAGCTTCATGTAAGGTCATAGAAAGGAGGGATTTACTGTGTATTCAGTTTTATATCTCATGATGGTAAGACCAGACAGTTATTAAGAAGGAGCAACTTTGTAATACAGGTTCGTCTTTTTTTTAAAAGACCTAATTGGCGCCGTAGGACAAACAGGTTGCCTGGGCCACTGGAAGGAATTAACTGTGCATTTCCTCAATTCGTAGATATTTCGGGGATGAAGTACTGGATAGAGTTTCACGGGTGTGGGTACCAGGCTGGAAACGAGTGAAAAGAGATAACGAGTTTGATTATCGTGTTATTGATGTTGGTTGTAGACACGTCACATTGAATAGAATTAGATGAAGGAGAACATTTTGAATGTATTTCATCATTGTGACTCGTAATGATCTGAAATAATTACGCTTACAAGAAATGTAAAATATATGTTTCAGTTCTTATGTTTTCGCTCTGTATCATCGATTAGGAAACTTAGATTTTGTTATACCCTCTTCAGAACAAGCCATTGCAAAATATTTCATTCATTCTGTTTCAGTTTCAAATACTTTTCCACCTATCCTGTTGAACAACTTGATTGCAGTCTCTCTAACAGAGTTGTTCATCATAGCTCCAGAAACTACGACTGTTTTTGGAATCTGTCCTTGTCGAGTTATATTCCTCCAATGCTATCCCACCTAACAACACTCTACTACTGAATTGAATATTTTCATATGCCATGTTACCTCATTTTGGGTTAGTGAAATGTTAAGTACAAAACAGAACTGCAACGGACTCAAAATACCTGCTAAGATAAATTTAAAAACAAAGGCAAAATTATGGAACCCAGAAGATGAAGCTAACAATAAAGAAGGAAAAATAGTCAGTGCTGCCCAATCACCAGATCTTAGGTCTTTTCATCAACCTTTCTCACCTGATATAACAGAGACTGTATGAATTAAAGAGCTAACAGTCCTAAGTATTGAAATGGCACAAGTCAATTGTGAACAAGGTTGATTGCCGATGGCACAAGTTTATATCACTTTCAGAGTTAGATGAAAACTTTGAACTGTATCAATTTGGTTGGGAGTTTTACATGAAATACCCAAATCACGGCCTTTGCATCTGTTCAACTCTACTCTCAGAATTTCAGTGCTGAACCATGGCAAAACTCTGGCTTGTTACTGATTTCCTTTGAAATCCAAATGGAGGCAATAATGTGCACATAAACACAGAACGTGATGATATTGAATGATTTGAAGAATTTTCCTTGAGCATTTGTGTGTTCCACACAGCCCTTTTTATAACCACATGACACATGTGTGATATTAAACAATAATATGGTCATGTAGCCAGCAAAGTGATTTAATAGATATGCTTGGTGATACCCAACAACGTGTAAAGAAAACATGAATCTCTTTGAAGCCAGCCATTCACCAAATAAATTTGCGAAATGATTGTTCAAAGTCTTCTGATTAATAATTTCTCATATATGGTGTTCTGAAGAACCAAAGATCTAAAAGAAAGCATATGTTTCAAAACTTGTAACAATCTTTCAATCGGTATTCAAGATAGTAATTGATTTTCTTTGAAATAACAAAGTTGCCTTGGTTACATCTGCACATCACTTACTGGACTATTGTGACCACTTGGTCTCACACTTGTATTCACACTTAGACTTTTCCCAGATGCTGAATTGACTGTTCAGGCTGATCATCTCTTTACTGACAACAATTACAACTGCATAAGTTATGAAGATTCCTATGGCCATCAATTCAATCTTTCACATGCAATTCAGCAATTTATAACAATAATGTAATTTCTAGTTATCGTGTCCTTTGGAAAATTGCCTGACAACACAATCTACTACCTTTTATGGCCTTTCGTTGTAATACTACATATTGTGTCCCTTCAATGTGGAGAATGAGCTCCACAATAAATTAAACGTGCAATCTTGACATTTCATGATAAAAAAACTTTTAAGATGTTTCCCAGAATATCTCATGCTTTATGTTCTACAACTTAACAATTCAACTTTACTGTGTGATTAATTTTTTTTACCGTGGACAATGAAACATGTATTACATAACTGGAAATAACTTGCTTTAAGGCTAAGGCAATTGCACAAATTCCATCAGTTCTCTGGCTAGCAACAATGAGTGCCAACAGTAATTGTACCATCTCACAACTAATAATTGCCACTGAACATTCTGTGGTGATAATTGTTCAAACAAACCCTGCTTACTCCACAACAAGTTATATTTAGTAAGTACCTTAAAGGTAATGAACCATCCAAAGATGCTTCACAGGAACTTGAAACAGCAAAATTAGACACCAAGTCTCATATAGTGATGTTAGGGTGGAGGGACAAAAAGTTGGTATATTGCAGTCATTTTGTAACAATTGAACATTTTCATGCTGACTGTTACCATGTCACGCCACTACTTGACAGAAGGTTAGAATGGCATGGGGGGGTGGGGGAGGTCGGTGGTTATTCACAGGAGCTGGATGATATACTGAGTTATATAATGACTATTGCCCTGTTGGATTTGGTTTGGAATTCAATTAAGATAGTAGCTTGTAAAACGCCTATGTAAAATGAATTTGAGAAATTACCAGCCATTTCTTAGTGAATATTAGTCACAGTACAAAATTATTTAGAAACTGACACTGACTAATCATGGTATGAGTGGAGTGGGACACAGAAAATGTCATGCTGATCGAGTATGAGGCATTTTCCTGACAGTGACCTTGATGTACATTGGGCAAAATCATTTTGAACTTTCAGATCTGGGGAAATGGTATTTGAAATGGATGCTATTCTGACAAAAATCACGAAGGAAGGATATGTAAAAATTGATTGTACCAGAGAAAATTTCACTATTAGCGTTAAACTTCTTCACATTTTTGCAAAACAAAAAATGTAAGCAAAATCCAAACACTATTAGAGAAAGGGACTCTATAGAAGGTTGCAAAATGTATATTTATTCTACTAAAGTAGAGATCTGATAAACTTGGACTTTACCAATTTTGGTTTCCTTATTTAGAAAAAAAGCATACTTGCATTAGAAGCTATTCTGAGAAGGCTCACTCAACTGATTTCTGGGGTGAAAGGGTCATCTTGTGAGAAAAGTTGGACAAGATGGGTCTATATTAATTTGTGTTTAGAAGAATCAGAAGTGGTCTTATTCAAACACATATATCCTGAGGGGATTCCACAGGATGGATGCTGACAAGATATTTTTGTCACTTGATGGAAAGACTGAAACTAGGGAACACAGTTTAAATATGAGAAGTCCCCCATTTAAGATGGAGAGGAAGAGTTTTTTCCTCTCACAGGGTCAAGAGTCTGTGGAAATCTCTTCCCAAGACAGTGCTGAAGCAGGGGCATTGAATATTTTTAAGGCTGACATTGATAGATTCTTTATTGACAAGGTAGCCAAGAAAATGGGTTCAAGCCACAATCAGACTGATTATGATCTTATCTAACGGCAGAACCAACTGATGTATTCCTGCTCCTAAACTTATATGGGATCACTTTCATTTCAACAACAAGCACAGAGAATGTTCAATAATCTCCTGTGCCTACAGATTATGCACTCAATTTCTATTTGTAAGTCTAACTTTCTACTATTCCATCTACATTTAGAATCTACTATTGTTTAATCCACAACTTGTGCTTTACCGTTTTTCTAGCAATGATATATTCTCATTCAGATCTTCAGCAGGAAGTCCAGATTTGGTTGTTAAATTAATTTAACTACTTTCCAAGATGTAATGCACTTTCAAAGTTTTTGGGTAGATTGTGTGGGCTGGGAGAGAGAAATCATTAACACAGACAATTTTCCAACTCTACGAGGTAGCCTTATATGATAGCTGAACGTGGTCAGCATGAGGACAAATCATGCAAACATTAACGATCTTGACTATCAACTCTTTCATCTCAAACAACACAGCATGAGGTTTGGAAAAAAGGATGGAAGGAGATAAAATACTGGACAACAGTAAAAAGGAGATAACATAATTTATGATTTTAATTTCACCTGGAGATGACACCGTCCCTTACACTTCATCCAGAGTTGTTCAGCTTCTCAAACAATTTCGTTTGATTGCTGTCACTTTTTAATACTCATATTATTCATTCAAATAGAATACTCTTGTTTTTGTTCTTCTGGTTAGGCTCAGTCCTCCATTTGTGAGAATTTTCTCCTCAGCTGGTTCTCTCTCTGATTCTTGATCTATATTTGATATCAATCAGAAACTGATTCCAGAGTTCTTTGAACAGGAATACAGTGCTTATGCACAGGCCATTGTGAAACTGAAATTTTGGACTAAAAAAAATTGTAAAGCTTAATCAGTCTTGATAAATAGCCATGTGTGACTTTTATGTGGGATCTCTTAGTCAATCTAGCATAGTGGAACCAGAGCATTATTGTACATGGTTTCTCTCAAGGATAGAAATAAAAGAAATCAATGGCTCCATTGTAGAAATAGTCTTTTCCCACAAGATTTTTACCTATGTTGCTTAGCATTGGTGAATTTGTATTATAATCAAATCGTTTGATCAGAAACATATGCAAGTCTCAGTAACTTTTATACAATTTATTGTGTTAATGAACCAGCTCCTGACAGACACATTCTGTGCAGTTAATGACAACCCCAAAATAAATTGCTGGATATGGTAAAGCCACCAGCTTTTTTCCAGAGGTTAACTGTGGCAAATTTGGTGTTGTTGACTGTGTGATATTTTGGATCAGAAGTTGGGAGCAAATATATATTGCAAGGGAAAGATAAGAGCAGTTTTATTATTATTAATATTTATTCTAATGCCCATTAGAAAACACCACATTTTAAAGGATGGAAACTTCAATAACAACTTGCATTTGTTTAACACCATTCATTTAGGAAACATCCCACAGCACTTCAAAACAGTGTAATCAGAGAGAAAGTGACACCAAACCAAAGTTGGAAGTATTAGTATGGTTGATTAATAGTTCACCTAAAGTAGGGGGTTTTTAAAGAGGGTCTCAAAGGAAGAGAGAGAGGTGGTGTACAGAGATGAAGGGAATCCAAGAGCTTGGAGCTTGTACAGCTGAATGTATCGCACCAATGGTAGCATAAAAGCAGTGACTGAAATAAAGGAAACTGACTTTGAGGATTGCAGGTGCATGTAGGGCAAAGGAAGTTTCATAGATAAAGAGAGGTGCAACCATTGAGGGATTTGAACTGGCAAATGAGAATTTTAAAATGTAAACATTGATCGATAAGAAATCAATATATGTCAGCAAGCACAGGGGTAATTGACAACTGGAACCTAGTCTGTGTTAGAATACAGGCAGTAGAATTTGGATAAATTCAGGTTTATGGAGGGTGGAAAATGGGGTGCCAGACAGGAGTGTCTTTAAATAATTAGAAAAGCATGAATAATGATATCTCACAGATGAGATAGGGCTGGAGATGACCATGTTAGAGAATTTTGTGATTGTGTAGGTACGAGTCAGAAGCACACTCCATGGTCAAATAGGATGTTGCTGTTGCAAAAGGTTTGTTCCAGCCTGAGAGAGTGACCAGTAAATGGGGGAGTTAAATGGACATGGGTACCACTAATAGATGAAGGACAGAATATAGCAATGACATAGGACATTATTTAGCCAGGGAAATGGGATCCTGCCGACAGAGCAGGAAGTCACATGGACTCCTGAAGAGGCAGGAAAGAGTCAGCAACTTCTGTTATGCAGTAAGGACTGTTACGTTCACTATTAATAGTATCTATAGTCCCTGCAGTTACCCACCTTGGAACTGTTCTGTTCATGTGGCCAATTGGGATCTCCACAAAAAAAAAAGTAGGCTGAACAACCCTGGTCATAAAAATAAATCTTACTCCATGCCTGAGTACAGTAAGATCACTCTCAATTAAAAACAATGATAGGCGACCATATTCTATAACGCAAAGCTTTGCTGCTCTTGGGTCGTCCTTCTGACTTTCTGTGGAATGTAGCAGTGAAATGTCTAGCCTTCCATCAGATCCTTCCACTTCATGTTTCAATGCTACCAGCTTTCACTTGTCAGGGATCCAGTGGCCCAGTTGCTTAATCCCAAAGGGTCAGCTGCATTGATGTTAACAGCCTTTTTCTGTTCATTCATAGGATGGGGCTACCACTGGTTAAGCTAGTATTAATTGCTTATCTCTAATTACTCATCGGACAGTGATGGTGAACTGCCATTTTGAGGTACTGCAGCCCATGTGGTACTGCACCAGCTACAGTGCTGAGATTTCAGGTTTTTAACATACTGAAGGAATGGCAATATGGTTCCAAGTTGGGCTTATGAGTGCCTTGGAGAGGAATTGACAGGTGGTATCAATAGATCACAAGTTCCCTTTCAATTGATGCAGGTTCGCCATCTCATTGCCATCCCACAAGCTGTTAATTCAGACACTGGTTTCTGCTGCTAAGATTCCTGCTCATCCACATCCCTCCAATTCTATGGTGCTTTGTGCTATGATACTCTTTTCAATGTGTTGTGCTAAATTCTATCAAAAGTGACAATAGAAGATATGTTTATTAGATAGCAAGTAGAATTCACAACTAGAATTGCAATCCTTATACTGCAGAAAAAAAATCAAATTTGGGGACTTCTTTATTATCTTGACTATTCAAGCATTATGCATTTTGCAAAATTTCAACTTTGTGTTTTCGTAAAGTATGTTGTTTGGAATGCATGAAATGCAGTTAAAATTAAATTGGCCTACAAAACAGAACATTTTAAGATGTAAAGAAAGAGACTGGTTTATATAGTTCCTTACCATGTCATCAGGAGGTCCAAAAATATTGAAATGCAGTCCTGTTTATTTTGTGGATATCTATAGTAATCGTTCCATGTACAGCAAGATACCATAAACTACATACATATGAGTGATCAGTTAACTGGTTTTCATTGAGGGATGGCGGTCCATGAAATCTGGAAATTTACTTGCTCTTCTTCATATAGTTCAATAGTATGTTGTGTTTATAGGTCCAGAGGTAGGATCAAAATACACCATCCTGAACAATTCTACACTCACTTAGAGGTATCAAATAATTTATGTGCTTAATTCATGAATTGGGGATTCAAGCTACAACCTTTAATTATGGAGAGAATAGTGCAAGCAGCATACTATATTTTTCAAAGTGTCCGCGGTTTATCTGAGTTTTTTTAGCCTTCTGTAAGTACTCAGAAAATTATACTCCAATTACACGTGATAGGTGATAACTGATCATGTTTCTAAATGAAATACTTCCTTGTCAGTGGATTTTACTATTGAATTAACAATAATTATTTTGATATATTTTTCTCCCTTTGTTTTGCTACTCTTCTTCCACTGTAGGTTACCTGCTAAGACACAGTACCATTGAGTTGTGGAACGATCTAGGATTTGAGTCTTGGCATAATCACTATCAGAACTGTTCTATTGTTGGCTGGCAAGACATATAATTCAACTACGGTGAGACAGCTGATGCTGTTTTAGTATTTATAAATTTATTGTCAAATCTTCAATGGAGTTGGTGTGATCATTTTTGTGCATGTTAATAGAATTTCATGTTCTGGAGAGGCTTGTAAAAATGGGGAGAGGTCTGATATTTTATATTCAATTGCATGTCGCTGTCTGTTATTAGTTCATGTGAGATTGAACTTTGTCCTCACTTTTGTAATCTTTACTATCACTGACCCCTCCCCCTCCCCATCATCTTCTTTGAGGGACAAAAAAGGATAAAATGTAAGTCAAATATGCATTTTGGGCTGAATGCTTTATGAGATCTCAAATCGGGTTAAGAAGATGGAGACAAGGTCCTCTTTCTCTCTCATATGCTAATCCTGATGTGCAATCCTCATTTGAAGTCTGATTGTCATCTGCAATTTCAAGAAAAGCAATTACATTGTTGAAGAGGCTGCGTAACTCTGGTCATTATTCAGAGGTCAATGACCCAGGATTTAAGCACAAGTGACACCACTGCCAAATATGCTGAATTTTCAATCTTGAGTAGTTGAAGAGTTTCAATTTACCATAAAACTTACAATGTAAGCACAGCTGGCAGAGTGTAGCATCATCTTCCAGCAGGACTTAAACCTGTGGGCACATCAGTGAAATGAATGTCTAGACTCATGTTGCCAGGCCACTTTGGTATTCCATTTCAGTATACCAGAAATTAGTTTGAAATTGGGTTAGTTTGCTAAGTTTCATTAAACAGCACTGGCATGAGAGAGCTGATGCTTTGTGGTATTTTAAGTCCTGTTTGTGCTGCATGTCACTTTTAACTTGTACTGGAAAAACATATTATTTAGGAGGTGCAGAATTGGTTTTAGTAAATATTTAAAAGTATTGCAAAAGTTGCTCAGTTTAAAACTTTTGACAGCATCTGCTTTTAAACCTCACAACAAAGTTGTGGAGTTGTTTATGATTCCATGAATGGAACATGAAGCTTTACTTCAAAGACAAAGATTGCAAAATATGGATGCTTAATACAATGGGTGCTATTATAATTCCAACATGATCCAGTGGCCTTGAGGTATTCATGATGCCTTCATTATATATACGTAAGTTTTACTATTTGCATTTTGTCACCAAATTGAATCAGAGGGGATGCTATTAGTGATGGGAAATCTACTGATAAGGTAGTTATGACATCAGCACACAAGCCCTGCACATGTGAGCACCGTACAACAGAAGCCATGTTGCTGCAGAAAAGGTGGTCAGATCATTGGTGTGTTTAAGCAATACTTCTGAAGCTTAGATTACTCTGGAAGAGCCCTGTGCAACTTGGTAGAGGGCATATCAAAATTTAATGTGGTTCGCTGCATGCTTTACAACAAGCAGGCCTTGCTGACAGCTGTATGACAACCAGCTGTGGAGGACAGAAGGAGGGAGAAGGCAACTTAGATATCTATTATAGAGTCATACAGCATGGAAACCGACCCTGGGACCAACTAGTCCACGCCAACCAAGCTAAGCTAGTCCCACTCGCCTGTGTTTGGCCCATATCCCTCCAAACCCTTCCTATTTATGTACTTACGGAAATGTCTTTTAACTATTGTAACTGTACCTGCATCCACCATTTCCTCTGGCAGTTCACTGACAAATCACTGTCTGTGTAAATTAAGTTGCCCTACACATCCTTATTAAACTTTCTCCTCTCACTTTAAAAATATGCCCCTTAGTTTTGAACTCCCCCACTGTAGGGAAAATGCCCTTGCTATTCACCTTATTTATGTCACATACGATTTTATAAATATCTATAAGGTCACTCCTCAACCTGTTAAACTCCAGTGAAAGAAGTCCCAGCCTACTCAGCGTATTTTTATAATTCAAACCCTCCATTCACAGCAACATCCTGGTAAATCTTTTCTGAACCCTCTCCAATTTAATAATATCCTTCATATAGCAGGGCAACCAGAACTCCAGAAGAGGCCTCACCAACGTCTTATACAACCTGAACAGGACGTCCAAACTGCTATACTTAAAGGTCTGAGTGATGAAGGCAAGCATGCTAAATGCTTTCTTAACCACCCTATCCATCTGTGATGCAAATTTCAAAGAATTATGTACCTGAACCCTCAGGTCTCTCTGTTCTACAACACTACCTCAGGCCCTGCCAATAATTCAATAAGTCCTGCCCTATACGAAAATGCAATACCTTGCATTTATCAAATTAAACTCCACCTGCCACTCCATAGCCCATTGATTGAACTGATCAAGATTGCTTTGTAATTTTAGATAACCTTATTCACTGTCCACTATACCACCAATTTTGGTGTCATCTGTGAATTTACTAACCATGCCTCCTAAATTCTAATCCAAATTGTTTATAGAAATGACAATCAAAAGTGGACCCAGCACTGATCCCTGTAGAACACCCACTGGTCACAGACTTCCAGTCCGAAAAACAACCCTCCCCCTCAGTCACCGACTGTCGAGCCAACTTTACTAAAATCCAAGTAAACAACGCCTACCACTCTGCACTCATCAATCTTTTTGGTTACTTCCTCAAAAAACTCAAGCAAATTTGTAAGACGTGATTTCCTATGTACAAACCCATATTCTGGCTGATCTTTCTGTGATAGACTTATCTTTGTGTTGTATCAGTGAATATAACCTCAATTTCCTATCCTGTAGCAGTCATTCACTTTACCTTTTCTCCGTTACTGACTCGCATAGTGGTTTCTGACCAAAGCGGTGAATTAGGGCCATAAGGGAACTGGTCTTCTCCATGCCCCTTTGAAATTTTGCCAGGCCTGTCAATACACTAAGCATTTCAGTTTGTGTGTCCATTAGCCTTATTATGTACACTTATATCAAACACATATCTGAGTCTCTGCAGAAAACTTTACATAAGCTCACTCTCCTATATCCTACTCTGACTGCACTCCACTTATGCAAAGTGTACCATTCCCATACAGATCCTGTCTTGGAGGCATTCAAATGAGGTCACTGAACTTCTTGTGGTACTGCCTCAGGGGTAGATTTCTGATCTTGACAAATGCAGGAATCTGCTCTCACTGACTTCACTAAATTTGTCATGAGGGCTTTCTGCACTTCTCCATCCCCCCACCCCCTGCCACACACCTCCCATGGATGCATTGATGAAATGCCTCCTTACTTGCAATTCCAAGGCCTCCATTAAGCATTGGAAAATCTTGGTGCCTGCTCTCTACCATGATGTGTGATTTTTGCACCTTTCCCAGATGTGCTTTCTCATTGATTTAACAACCTATTCCAGCCAGAATGTGCCTGCCGAGTTTGAGCTAGCTTACACTTGTGTTGGCCTCTAGTGATTTTTGTGTCCCTGATCAGATGTGCAGTCACTCAACCATAGAGTTAGCCTTGGTTGCAGGCTGCGAGGTTTAAATCTGTAGGCAATATCAGAAGCAACAGCAATTGGTTAATCATGCATCATGATCTACTGTCTGTTTTTGAGTCTTCAAACTGTGTCTATTTCATGGTCATGATATCACTGTTGTAATTCAGATCCATGCACAAGACCCTGTTTAAGGCATTTTATTGTTGAAGGGGAATATACCCAACAGCTCTTTAGATGTACTTAAAGCAAGTATATATAGCGCATTAAAGTGTTTACATCTCCTCCAGATGTTGCCATAAATGCCATAACGTTATGTTAGTCAGCAGTATAATATCTGTTAGCAAAAGCTAATGTGGAATGTTTGTACACGTTCACATACAGTAAAGGTATGTTGATGCATTCATAGATATTTTTCTGAATATAGACAGATTTTTGTAGACCAGCAGTTTAAATGTTTGAGGATTTCAATGAGGAATGGTGCAAGGTTAAGTGTGTAATGCATCTCACTTAACAGAATGAATGTCAATAGTTCCTAGCTGGGATTTTAGCTTAAGACCAACATGTTAGAAAAACTCTCCCTCTTGGGCAGAAGTAACAACTGGCATAATTCAGTTTGCACAGATGAATGTTATCAATTTCTGAAATGATCCAGAAAGTAGCATCAATTGAAGGGAAAAGCAGCACCTCAGTCAGCGAGGTTTAAGAATGGTTACGTTTTGGTTACAAAGGGAAAGACATTTGAAGAAAATGGCTCGGAATGATAATCATAGCAATTGAGAGTGAACAATTACAGTTTTTTGAAGTGTGTAACATTTATAGTGGACATAATTTCAACATGTGAGAGAATTACTAGGTTCGTTATATGTTCATTACAATATGTTACAATTTTTATATTGGCTATGCATTCTGTTTTTTCAGATGGCCTCTTGGGCATTTGTTCTTTTTAATTATCTTGAGACCACAAAACAATGTTAGACTGGCCTTCTTGTGTAATTGGATTAACCTGTCTAAATGTGCTAATAAATTAAAGTAATAATAATGAAAAAAAGACCTCCACAATAACAATAGTAATATTTTATGTATCTGATGCTACTGGGATAATAAACATTGAAATTAATCAAAGGTCAATAATTCTCCTTGAACTCATGTATTTGCATTCTGTGTAATATATGCTGCTGATATTGCATTTATTTTCATTTAATGCAAAAATGCAATAATTTTTTGTTTGAAATTTAGTTATGAATAATTTAAAAATAACAACCAATAATACATGGAAGGCAAAATTACTCCCTTTTGACTTTGGACCTATTTAATGACTGTGCTGAACCAATTGTAAGAAGAATGCCTGTTCTTTTGCACAGTTAGTACTGTGAACTACAATTGAAGTGTTAGTACAATTTATTGAAATCACTTTTTAAAAATTTCTTTAATCAAATGATCAATCATTGTCCCTGAAAAAAAGCAGAGTCGAATGGACAGTGAATAATTTTTGAATTCGAGCATATCTCACGGACACTTTTTGCACATCTATGACCTAAGTTGTATTTGTGTAACCTTAATGGACTCTTGGTCACATCCCTAAACATTGTGTCCATCTGTGCCCGAAACTGAAAATGTCAGTTCACCTATCTTCATAATTTTTCAAGGT